CCTGGGTCAAAGGGGTCAGGGTGAGGAGTACAAGGGTGGGGTGCCCAGGCTTACTTAGGTGGGGATGTGGGAGGGACCTCTCAGGTAAGAAGGAAGACTCCCCCCAGGACATGCTCCCCTAAGAGGGAGAAGCCAGATTGGGGTTGGGAACATAAGAGGGGTAGGTCAGCAGAATTCGGTGCTCAGGCAAGCCTCTCCACCCTGATGTTCCAGGTAGGGCTGGAGTAGGGCCATCCTAAAGTAGCCTTGCCTCATTCCTGTAGGAAAGTGAAGCCTGCCGAGGCGGAGACAGCGGGAGCCATCATGGCCTTCTTCCTGTCTCTGGGCCTGGCACTGGGGGCTGTCTTCTCGTTCCTGTTCCGGGCAATTGTGTGACCCTGGATGGACAGAGGACCGCACTGGACACCTGCTCTTGCCCCTTCCTCATCCTTTAGAGATGGGCAGGGGTGGGCTGGAGGTTTTCTCTTCTAGCCGAATTCTGCTTTCTCACAGCCTGTGCTGGGCTGAGTGTCCAGGCCCCGAGGAGGGGGCCTCTGGGTGGACAGTTGGACAGTGGGGACATCGTGGGCCTGCAGGTCAGAGTCAAGAGGGACACAGTCTCTGCATATGCTCGAATCCTCCCACATTCAGCTCTGATTCCTACTTGAGCCTCTCCAAGGCTCAGAGTGTGTGTGTGTCTGTATTTTGTCTGCCTGTACCAGGGGTGGCTAGGGGCCAGGACTATCTCTTCTAAGGTCCAGTCTGATATTGCACCCCTCCCTTCCCCCTGTCCCTCCCCTGCTCCCCTGCCTTGTGTCTATCATGTACCCTGTACCCCTGTACAGTTGCTATTTTACTGCCTTTTTTATACTCAACAGAAACCAGGTGCCTTCAGAGGCTGCCTAAATAAACTATTTCCCCCCCATGGCTCTCTGTGTCCGCCAGCCACGGCTTCATGCCCTGGAGGGGGTAGAGGGATGGCTGCCTGAGTCTGCGGGGATGAGCATGAGCCAGCTGGGTCTTGGCCAACACCAGGCCTGGGTCCAAGGTTGTGGGAATGGGGGTAGAGTTAGTTCTCTTAGTCTCAGAGGGGCTGCAGTGTCCCCTGCTGGGGCCCACAGAGGAGAGACAGGCCTGGAGCCAGGACACCCATACTGCTGGCTAAGACCAGTAAAGGCCATTGTTTTCTGATGCTTCATTCCTTCTTCCATAGGACTGGGGAGGAGACAGCACCCACCTTTTTTAACCTTCACCGTTACCCCCTCCCCTCCGTCCTCACTCCTCAGTCCTGGGAATGAGTTCTGCAAAACCGGCCAGCTCTCCCCCTCCAGCCTCCCCCGACCCGGCTCCTGGTTGTACTCCCACACCTCCGGGCAAGAACAGGCTGCGCCTGAGGGTTGTTCCCTACCTGGCACTGTGCCCCGACACCAAAGCTCAGACTTCCTGCGAAACAAGGGACTATGTGTCCTTTCATTGAAGCTGGGCCATCCCTTTCTCTTCCCAACCTCTAGCCGAGGGAGGGGTGGGATGGTGTGGGACCATGAGAATTTCTCAGGGGAGGGGGCCATAACACAGGGTCCTCCTTCTCAAAAATGACTCTTCCTGACAAAGGGGGACCAGAGCTTTGGGCACTGTGGACCCCCCTTCCCCACCTCACTGAACATGGCCCTCAGAAGGGCAGGATGTATTCCTGTACAGCCCAGATAGCACACTGATCCCTGACGAGCAGATGCTACAGAGTTGGCACCTCTGCCAGGGCTTCATTTCTCAGTTTAATTGAATTGAAGGTTTCAGGCCTCATTAAAGAGCAGTTAAGTATATTATGGTATGGGGCACTGGAGTCCATGCACTCCATGTCAAACCAGGGTACATATCTGAGGCTGGTGGAAAACAAGGCATTTCTTTCCTACCAGGTTCAAAAGTGAGGTGATCCCTGTGTGTTCCCCAATCTTTGCAGTGCCCTCTGGCAATGAGTCAGGCTGAGATAAACCCGTACTCTCCCTCAGTCCTTCCTGAATCCCCCACTGTACCCACACCTGAGAGTCCTATTGGGCTCCTTCCTCAGCACCATCAGCCCTTCGGGGACCCCGTCCTTTTTCCCTGGGTCCCTTCACCTCCTACCTGGCCCTTTGGGACTCTTGCCTAGGTCTCCTTCAAACCCTTCCCACTTGTGACTACAGGATAATCTGAAAACAAGTTTTGTAATATGCTGGTCCCTCTCCCCGGAGTGGGCCGAGCATTTTCAGGTCTTCCACCACCACCAGCAACAGCCAGTTTATGTAATTCTTCCCCCTCTGCACCTCAGAACTGCTGTAATTTTGCACCATATCTTTTACCATGTTCTTATCTTACTCCGGCTACTAGGCTGTCATGTTTTTCAGGTTAGAGGATTCTATTCATGTGTTGACTCTAAACTACAAGTGCAACATGTGGCTCCCAGAGGTACTCAAAAACATTTGCTTCATGCATCTGCTTGTTCCTCCCACCCACGTGGTCTTCACACCCGACTCCAGCTGTGGGGTAGCACTCATTTTACTGCCTGTGCCCATGGGATAGAGATGGGTGTTAAGTAGGTTCCTCAAGCCCAGCAATGGCTGGAAGGAGGAAAAGACCATTAGGTTGGTCATTTTCCTTCCTTATGTACTTACATTGACTTTGGAAAAAATTACTAGAATATTTCCCCAAAAATACTTAGACTCCTCCCAGGAGGTTTTCTAATGCAAATGACAAAAACTTTGGGTCGTCACTCATTTCCAGTCTCCTGACCTCAGTGTTTCTCACTGGAAAAACAGGGTGGAGTAGAAGTTAAAAAAAGCAACACCCAGGTCTCCTGCCTGCTCAACTGCAGGGATGGCTCCCACCACAGGTAGGCCCTCTGTGCCCAACACCCCTGTGGACTTTATTGGGCCTCATCACTTTCCTCCTCCCATTTTGCTTCCCAGAAGGTGGGGAGGCCTGAGCTGTTGAGAATCTGCCAGGTATCCCTGATTCTGCCACGACTTGTGCTGCTCCTCACCTCCCGTGTGACATTTCTACCCGAAGTATCAGTCTGTATTCAGCTGCTGTCCTCCCTGGGGTGGCTGCTATTGCAACACAGATATTTCCCCCTATTTTAATCTTATATGGTGAGCTGCTGGGGCTTTAAACTATTGAAGTCAGGAGTCCCAGTAAAATGCGCAGTCAGCCTCAGGTGTAACTGATGAATGTGTCCGTGTCTATTCTTGGAGGTGAATATGGAGAGGATGGTGAGGGCAGGATAATGAGGGGGAGGGTGGCTTGCTAGGAAAGCAGTTACTGGGAACATAAATTATTAGAATGTTAAACTACGAGAGTGGTTCAAAAAAATGGATGTGAGCAGAGAAACGCAGTCACTTTAAAGAGAGCCCTGCTCTCTAGCCAGCAGGCCCTGCCTGGAAGAAACATCTTGAGACTGGAAGAGTGGAGGTCTGAGGGAGGTCAGCCAACCAGCAGGCCTGACAGGGAGGCCAGGCTGGCAGTGAGGCCCGTCTGGTTCCTGGGGTAAGTTGGCAGTGAACGTGGTGATGGGCACCTCAGACAGGCAGAGCCCATGCCCCACCCCCAACCCATCAATGGCCTGTGTCCTAGCTGGGCTCTCTCAGCATGACTTGGCTTACCAAGCGGTTCCCCTCTGAGAGCGGAGGTGCTCACTCAGAGCCTGCTACAGCCAGGGCAGTTCTGGTGCTCTCTGTCAGTGAGCCAGTTGGCATTCTGGCTCCAGACTGCATGCAGGGCCAGTGCTAAGTGAGTCAGCGGGACCCCTCAAAGCGGAAGCATCTGCCTATAATGGCTGCTTTCTCCCAGGCCTTTCTATGGCGTTGGGGGGTGGTTCAAATTTAGAGTCTAGGATTCCATCTTGGGCCTGCCAGGTACCAGCTGTGGGACCCTGGACAAATCACTCGCCCTCTGGGACCCAGGTCCTTGTTCTTAAAACGGGTGACCTATCAGTGGACTTAATAAGGGGATTAAGGGCATCTGGGTGGTAGAGCCTGGACACAGAAATCGAGGACCTTAGAGATGCATGGCCTCAGACCATTAGGATGAACCTCAGCTCGGAGTGCTCCCTGCCCCCCACCAAAGCGGCTCCTTGCTCCTTCCCACACGCGGTTCGTTCCCCTATCCCGCACCTCCAGCCCCAGGAAAATTAAAGAATCAACCCTCATTTCCCCCGCCACAGCCATTCCCAGGGCAAATCACCACTTGGTCTGGCACAGGACAGCAGGGCCAGCAAAGACTTGTCCTGCCCCGCCTGCCGTGAGGC